TTCGGAGGCGATGGTTTGTCACGCTGGGAGGTTTCCCAGCAGCGGGGACGTTCTGCTGGAGGTGAACGGCACTCCTGTGAGCGGACTCACCAACCGAGACACATTGGCGGTCATCCGCCACTTTCGGGAGCCCATCCGCATGAAGATTGTGAAACCAGGTGTGTGTCTATTCTAATTATGGATCACCTAGACCCCCTACACCCCTCCAGCTCCCTACCCCACATACACAACCTAACCTGCCATGTGTGTGAAGTGCTTTAAAATGGTTTGTTTAAGCACGGTAACGTGAAGATTGAGAATCTTAGGACAGGTGTGACCAAATATAGAGGCACTCAGCTGAGCCCACGTTTGCCTGTAGGGCAATGGGTTGAAGGTCCAGGTGTGTTAGCAGTCTTGTTATTTTGAAGCTAATGTACAGGTCATTTTGTGTTTTCAGCTGCCCTAAGCCTATTTAAATTGTCTATGTGCATTCCTTCTATTCATTAATGTGAAGCCACTTTTGCTGCAGTAGTACAATCCTGCCCAGCAGCATAAGTGAGGGACATGCTGCTTTAACCATGCTTGTTTAGTGCCCAGACCTGCATGCACTACAACATAAGCCATGCACATGTTATTAAGCTTGCAGCACTTTCTCTGAACTGAGTCTGTAATCTTCATTGCATCCGTGCACAAATGTTGCCTGTCCTCCTCTGACCATGTAGGTAGTAGGGCAACATGCTCACATAGTCATCACACACACAGGCATGAAGACACACACACACACACACACACACACTACTTTAATGTAATTAATAAGTAATGTAATTCTGTCTGTAAGCTCAGCTGAAAGCTTATTGATTGGATTTATGTGATTGTTATTAATACAAGCAATTAGTTTGTACTTTTTTAAGGCACACTGACATGCCTAATGAATTTAATAAATGTGCCAAAACATACTGACATTGAAACTCTGCCAGTGTGTATGTTTGTGTGGATAGAGGCACTGTTGAGGGTGGCACTTGGTAAACACTTTGCAGGGATTTGTTAATGGTTGCCTTGCCAGCTTAGACAGTGTCGCTCTGCTTGCAGTGTTGAGGTGAGTCCAAGTCTAATTGAATCAATTAGGTTTATATCCTTAAATCCCCCAGGATGCTGAGCTAGCCTAGCGACACAGTCTGACACCATGACTGTCAGGGATTTTTGTTTGATAGTGTTTTCTGTGAAGCGGATTGGTGCTTCTGCAGTGCAGTTTACCTGTTGATTAGGGTTAAGGGGTGTACGGGTGTTGAAATCAATATCACAATACTAATTAATTGGTTTCACTTTTTAACATAAGATGACACCAGATTTTTCACTAATTGTAGCACTTCAAACATATATTGCAGGTGATTTGAATTTGATAATGTTATATCAGTTATATTGTTTTACTCTTGTTTGTTTTCCTTGTGTTTGGACATTAGAATCAAGTTCAAAAGTGCATTTTCTCAGTTCCATAATACTCACTCTGTCACACACTTTCTAATGTTTTCTCTTGACCTTGTGTTATGTAATGTTAGCTGTATGTTGAGTGATGCTCGAGTTACACTTTGACATCTGCAGGTTGGTTACCATAGGCTCCTCTGTTCCCCAGTGGGCCTCGCTGTGTGTTTATCTCTCTCTCCCCTTTCTCATTTTTAATTCATGCATCATCCATTATTGATGGCTGCTCTGTGCCATGATGAGGTGGCTGGTGGGCGGATCAGATGTTAGCCGACTCGTGTGGATGTAAACTTGAACTCTCATGAGATTGCAAAGTCGGTAGTGAGAACGGGTTTGATGCTAAGAGTAGTGGAGTTAAATCCTTTTGTAGACTTGTCACGGCACAGTGGTGTGTGTGTTCCTTGTATTTGCACAACACAGCAAAAAAGTTACATCAACCTAAAAGGGATGCATTTACATAATTTCATGTCTCCCTGTTGGATTGTTCCCTCCCTCCCTGCTGTCTTTACTTTATTTTCTCCCCTCAGCCGATAATGCCTTATCATCACATTTTGCTGTTCTCCCTCACCGCTGATATTTTCTTTCCTTTGCTACATTATTCTGTTTCACTCCGATTCTCTTGCCTTTGCCTTCGTACCCTTCCTCCCAATCCTATGCCATCACCAGTATACTATTTTTTTCACTAGCTACTTTATCATCTAAGTAAATCTAGCAAATCTTTATAAAATTGCACAACCTTTCTTCAGAATCTAGCCCACTTTTAGTAAATTCCACTGAAGGGAGTCATTTCACTTACCTGCCATGACGTTTACACCCGCCGAGTCTAAATCAAACACGATTTTGCTTCTTCATAGTTGCTGAAACGTCTCGACACTGCACAGTTAAGACAGAAAACAGGAAGTTTGTCTGGATTGGTTCTCTGGCTCCAGATCAGCCGATGCACTCAGTATGCAGTACCCATCCTGAGAGAGGAGCAAGACAATAGGCAGTAACCTTGAGGGGGCCACTGAGAGTAGAGGCGTAGTGATCACAGATACCTGCAGCTTAGACAATTGCGAGTGGGCAACTCATTGATTAATGCTGTAAACAGACTTAGATCTGCTTGTTTTTACCTCGTGGAGCATAATGAATGGACAGTTAAGCTTTCAGGTCCCTGAGCACCCTTTATTCACATAATGGAATCTGGGAAAGGAAAAGGGTTATCAAAACCCTTTTTCTTCTCAAACATAACTAATGATATACTGAGATGACTATGGTTTACATTTTACAGTGCTACTCCCTGTGGAGTTATAGACTGAAAAAATATTTAGAAAAAATGTCAACTGTGGGGATAAATGCACTCTAATGCTCAACAGTATAAGCTATAGTGGCTTTATGAGCGTACCTCACTGCTTTAATGTAAAGGTCCCATTCATTTAATTTATACACACGCTTAATGACGCCAGCGTACATTAAAGTAGGGCAGTGATCGTCTTGTGAAGCTGTGTAAATGAAGGTGCAGTGGATGTCTACTAAAGGAAAAAGAAGTAAAGTTTTTATGGATATTTTTATTTTCAGTAATATTAATTTTGTATTCAAAAGATCAGGGAGGTTCAGTTAAGAGTCTTGAAAATCCCCAGGAACCTTCTAGCTACAGAGGAGCATTTTTATTTCGAGTGGACATTAGGAACACAGCAGTTAGTAGCTATACCTACAGTATCTGGGGAGAACTGCAAAAATGTATATTTCATACAATCCACTTAATGCCCAAGGAGAGGTGATAAAAATGAGCTGCCTTCTGTTTTTTATTCACCATTTTAATTTAGGAAAGGTTGCTATAGATAACCAAAAGTACTTGAGGTATCTCACTTGGGAGTTTTATTCTGATATGCACACTAAATTATGAAGAGGCAGTTCTAAGTTGTTGGTCTGGATCTAATAGACTCTTTTCAAGCATGCAGCCCCTTTTTTACTAAAGAGATCAGAAAAAGGATCCTGAAGACGATTGATGCCATAAGGAATTCAGGTAACAATACGCATGAATAATTGAGTGAGAGATAATTGCAGTGGGTTTTTTTAAACCACCTGCTAGGCTTTCTTCAAAAAAGACAAACTCAAAGGACCCTCTTCCTCTCCTTGGATCCTCTTACACTGTTATATATCACCAACCTGTGATGTTTAATGTGTCCCAGGATTTACTTTGTGATGTAGTGTTTTAATTTACCTTCTTGATGTACCTGCTTTTCCTCCAACCAGCTTTGTCTGTTTCTGCGTTGTTTGGTAATTTACATTACATTACAATATGCCATAAAGCACTTTTGACCACCACCTGAGATTGTGCCGGAACTTGTTGTGCTCAGTTGTGGTTTACTCGT